AGGCTAGAACGAGGCAAGGGCAGCGGCACTGGTGCTAGAGGCCTCCTAGATGGGGTCCGAGCAGATGGCGTCGGAGGATCTCGCCGCATCGCCGATGCATGGGCGATGCATTGGCGCACTGGCAGCGCTGAGGAGAAAATCGAGCTCCGCATCGACCCGCATCGCCGATGCATCGGCGATGCGGCGCGATCCTCCGACCCCATCTACTTCGACCCCATCTGAGATCGGGGGCGCGCAAACATAGATTAGCGATCCATGGATCTGGCGCTGCGGCCAACGCCGCCTCGCTCGGCGGCGGAAGCCCGCGATTCCCTGGGAAACGGGCCCCGTCGCCAGTCCACGCCCCCTGAATCCATGCTTGCCATCGCCGGATGAGAGGTCTGGAGGGCATACCCTCTCCTCCCCTGACTCCCCGTCACCTCCCCCCCTGCCGGCCCAGCCTTGCTGCAGTGCCGCGAGTGGATGCGGTAGCCCGTGCTCAGGCGCGTGTCCGCCGCGAGCACGGCCTCGGCGCCACGGGCCCCCTTGCCCCCACGACAGGCTGGCACCCCGCGGCGGTGGGACGGGGACGTGGGCTAAGGGCAGTCTTCTCACGCGTGCACGTCAACATGTTATCTGTCCTGTCCCGATCCTCTTGCCGTTGCTCGGCGCCGTGACCTGCTGGATGGCTCTCGTGTGTGTGCTTCTGGTGCGGTGCCGCTTCCACTGTTGGCCCCCGGGGTCGCCATGGGCCGAGCGGTGCCGTGGCTAAGTTTCACGATCTAGCCACGAGCGCGACAGCGCCAGCGGGCGGATGAAAAACCGGCCCTGGGGAAAGGCTTGGGACGTCCAGGGCCCAGCGTTGAACAAGTCGAGACGTCGCGTGCGCAGGGCGAGTGATACCAGGTCGTACCTCAGGAGGCAGCACTGCATGAACAAACCACGGCGCAAGCATCGACTTCCAAAGGTCCGCGCGGATCTCTTGCATCTGCGCTGGGCCCCCGTGGCGGCGCCCCTGGTGCGAGGATGCAAGAAAGCCGCTCGGACCTCCGAAAATTGATGCATGTGCAGTTTTAGCTCTGCTTCGAGGGAGGGTGAGAAAGGACGCACCTTGGCAGGCAACACCTGGGATCATCTCGTAAGAAAGGCTATGAGCCATGGAGCCCGGGAAAAATTGCCACTCGGCGGGATCGGCCCGGCCGAAGCTGAGCCCGATGGAGCCGGACAGGACGACACTGCACGGCACTGTGCCGGAGTTGGCCTGCCTCCGACCACGGATATGCCGGCGCAGATGCCGAACTCATCCTACCAGGCGTTGCCACCCAAACGGCTGCTTAGGTATGCTCGGCTGCTTTCGTTGCTATCCTCACCACAGCCCACAGCGCACCAGAGGATTTATTGACCAAGCATGGCCGCGAGGATTGCTTGTTTGAGGGGGGAACAAAAATCCAAACGGGCCTGCCCTCGCGACGGTGCAGCCGTGAGCAGCAGTCAGCACACGGCGGACGGGGGCCGGAGGAGGAAAAGGAGGAGGAGGAGGAGGGAGGAGGAGAAGGAGGAGGAGGAGGAGGAGGAGGAGGAGGAGGAGGAGGAAAAGGAGGAGGAGGAGGAGGAGGAGGAGGAGGAGGAGGAGGAGGAGGAGGAGGAGGAGGAGGAGGAGGAGGGGGAGCGCACGGAGCCTCGCGCGCACGCGCGACGCCAAGGCGCCGCGACAACGGCGCGCGCCCTCCGCACGCGCCCGCGCGGCGACGGTGCCCAGCTGGCCACCGCCGTTCGAGCCGCCGCGGGCCCCGGGGGAGCCCCCTGCGCCGCGGGCTCTCCGAGGGCCCCGCTGGGGAGCCCGGCGCGCCCCGAGAACCCGTCCTCCCCCTCCCTCCTCCTCCTCCTCCTCCTCCTCCTCCTCTCTCCTCCTCCTCCTCCTCCTGCTCCTCCTGCTCCTCCTCCTCCCTCCTCCTCCTCCCTCCTCCTCCTCCTCCTCTCCTCCTCCTCCTCCTCCTCCTGCTCCTCCTGCTCCTCCTGCTCCTCCTCCTCCTCCTCCTCCTCCTCCTCCTCCTCTTCCTCTTCCTCCTCCTCCTCCTCCGACGACGACGACGACCACGACGACGAAGACCAGAGAGCGAAGACCACGACGACGTCGACGACGAAGACGACGACGACCGACGACGACGACGACCGACGACCGACGACCGCTGACCGACGACCGACGACCGACGACGGAAGACCGACGACCGACGACCGACAACGACGACGAAGACGGCGACGACGACCGACGGCCGACGACAGACGACTGACGACGGAAGACCGACGACCGACGACCGACGACGACGACGCAGACGGCGACGACGACGACGTCCACAGCCGCGGCGGCGGCGGCGATGGCGACGGTGACGGCGACTGCGACTGCGACGGCGACGAGTGACGCTTGACATGACGAGCGCAAGCGCGCGTTCCCACGAGGGCGCGGCGTAGTCCTCGCCGGCAACCCCGAGGCACGTGCCGCCGTTGTCGTCGTAGGGCTGCCAGCGGTGCTCCATGGGGGCCTGCATGCCGCCTTCCGGTGCCTCCGGCCCGCCAGGGGAAAGAGGACTATGCAGACGAGGCCTCTGAAAACGGCGGCGGTGAGCGAGCGTCGTCGTCGCCACCGCCGTTGTCGCCGTCGCCGTCGTCGGAGCAGGAGCCCGAGGAGCGGGGGGGACGCGGTCGAGGAGACAGAGGAGGGCCCTCCTCCCATAAAAAGCACATCCTCCTCCGTCTCCTCACCTCCCTCTTCTTCCTCCTCCTCTTCCTCCTCTCCTCTTGCTTCGCCGCCTCCTGCTCCTTCTCCGCCTTCTCCTCTCCTCCGCATCCTCCTCCGAGGAGGGAGGAGGGGAGGGAGGAGGATGACAGAGATGGAAAAGTAGGAGGTACGTAGGAAGGGAAACGACAAAGAGAGAGAGAGAAGGGAGGAGGGAGAGGGCAGGAGGGTGCGCCAGAGACTCGAACAGAGCCAAAATCGTCTAAAGACCTCATTCGTCGATCCTCGAGAAGGAGGAAGAACAACGACGACGACAACGACGAGATCAAGGGCAGGAACAGCACAAGAAGAACGACGATGGGCAGGAGGAGGGAGACTCCGGAGGAGGGCCAGCAGGAGGAGAGGAGGGAGGCGGATTTCCTGATTTCAAGCCCTTGTGGCCAGGTCCTGACCAGGAAAGCAAGACTGAGCATGAAGCTATAGCATCTTGCATCATGGAACGCCGCTGAGATGCGAAGCTAAGCCGATGCGCTGCATTCAACAGTTGGCGGGGGGGCAACAATAGCTACACTTACACCCAGAGTCTCAAAACTCACCCCTGCAGACGAAACCCTGCACATGGAACCCGTCCGTGATACAGACTCGCGCAGGCCACAGACTCAGCAGAAAGAGGAAGGGCCAATCAGGAGAGCATTCTATGGCGAAGAATGAGCCTGGCGCGACCCCAATTAGGGAAACCCTTCCAAAGTGGCGTTTCTTGGTATTTTATTGCCCTGCTTGGTATTGCATTGGACTGTGTTGCTTGGCGTTGCTTGGCGTTGTTTAGCGTTGCTTGGCATGGCGTTCGCGCTGCTCGGCAAAAAGAGGACCAAGGAATTCAGGGAACCCGAGGAACGCATTTGCAAAAACAGTGAGGGAACAAGACCAAGAAACCCGGGGGTCGAGGAAGGCGTTTTCTATTCTGAGAAGGAGCCTGGGTAGCCCGAGGAAGACGTCTTCAAAAGAAAAGAAGCCGTGCCAGGGAGCCAAGGAACCCGACGAAGGCCTCTTCCAAAACAGCGAGGAAGCAACACCAAAGAACCCCCCTTGGGGACCGGAGGGAAGCCTTGAAAGACATGGGAAAACAAGAAATCACGGCACCCGTGGGAGCCGAGGCAGGCCGCATCCAGGAACCTGGGCGAGGCCTTGTAAGGCAACGAGAACGTGGAACCCCGGGGGCCCTCCTTGCAAGGAAGGAAGACCAGAGAGCCCTCGGGACCCCCGGCACGACCGGGTCCGGCACCCACAGGTTTCTGCAGCAACTGATGCGTACCCCTAAGGCAGCACCGTATTGAGAAACTGCATCACGTTTGGAGGTCCCTGCAGAACTTCTGTCGGAGCTAGACTTGCCTTCCCCGCCGCACAAGGCGTGCCGCGGAGGTACAGCGCCGACGGCGAAATGCGGACCTCCTCCGAAAGTTCATGCTTTGCTCAGTCCTGCGAGTATGAGATGGGGAGGACCTCCTTCTCCTCCTCGCTGGAAGAGGAGGAGGACTCGGATGACTGGTAGCAACAGGGACAGGAGTAATTGGATCTGCAATTGTTTGCCACAATCTGCATGCGAGGGAGAGAGAGAGAGAGAGAGAGACAGACAGACAGACAAATCAAAGAGAGAGAGAGAGAGAGAGAAAAAAAAAAATAATCATGATATACAGAGACCGAATGCCACAGACAGGCCAATTACCCCAGACCCTGCTCGACCAGGGCCGCTGCCAACTGAGCGGGTACACCCTGTCGCCTGGCACAGAGGCCCTGCTCGGGACGGGAGAGGTCGTCCCAGGGCGGAGGAGGACCGAGAGCCAGACACCCGATGCCTTGATCTGCTCCACCCGGTGTCCCAGGAAGCCCCGACTCTTCGCCCAGGGCCGGGCCTTCACCCCGAGCAGCTCCTCGACGGCCCTGGGGCCCGGCGAGGGCCGCCAGGACCGAAAGCGCCCCCCAAAAAAGCACTCCGTCGTGATCTTATGTTTGGTCGGTCGCGACGCGAGCAGTGCCTTATGGTTGGTCGCGACGCGAGCAGGAACCGCACAGGCAAGGCTCCTTCCCTGCAGGGAAAGAGGATGAGAGAGGGAAGGGAGGGAGGAGGAGGAGCAGTGCCTTGGTGGGCAGGAGGAGGGAGGAGGAGGAGGGAGGAGGGAGGAGGGAGGAGGAGAAGGAGGAGGAGGAGGAGGAGCGCACCGTGCCCTCGTGAGGAGGAGGAGGAGGAGGAGGAGAGGAGGAGGAGGAGGGGAGGGGGGGATCGGACATCCTACTCGGGCTGGACTGCGACAGCGCCCCGACGGACGGCGGGCCGACCAAATGCGGGGCGTCGGAGCTCACCTCGACGGGGACCGCCACCTGGCGAGCGCGGCGCTCCATCCAACTCCCTGCGTCCTTCCTTCCTTCCTTCCTTCCTTCCTTCCTTCTTCCTCCTCCTCCTCCTCCCCCTCCTCCTCTCTCCTCCCTCCTCCTCCTCCTCCTCATCCTCCTCCATGCAAACCTCCTCTCTCCTCCAACTCCTTCCTTTCCCCTCCCGCCCCTCTCGTCCCTCCTCCACCTCCTCCTCTTCTTCCTCCTCCTCTTCCTCCCCCCATTCTCCCCCTCCTCCCCTCAGCATCCTCCAATTCCATCATCCCCCCGCCCTCCCTCACTGTTCTTCTTTACCCTCCTCCTCTCCTCCTCCTCTCCTCCTCGCCTCCTCTCTCTCCTTCCTCCCTCCTCCCTCTCCTCGTTCATCCTCCATGCAAACCTCCTCCTCCTCCTCCTCCTCCTCCTCCTCCTCTCCTCTTCTCCTCTCCTCCTCCTCCTCCTCCTCTCCTCCTCTCCTCCTTCCTCCTCCTCTCCTCCTCCTCCTCCTCCTTCCTCCTCCCTCCTCCTCCTCCTCTCCTCCTCCTCCTCCTCGCTCCTCGCTCCTCGCTCCTCCTCGTTCTCCTCCTCTTCTTCCTCCTCCTCCTCCTCCTCCTCCTCTTCTTCTTCTTCTTCTTCTGCTTCTTCTTCTTATTCTTCTTCTTCTTATTCTTCTTCTTCTTCTTATTATTATTCTTCTTATTCTTCTTTTTCTTCTTCTTATTATTCTTCTTCTTCTTCATCATCATCATCATCATCATAATCATCATCATCATCATCATCATCATCATCATCAGCATCATCATCATCATCAGCATCATCATCATCACCATCACCATCACCATCACCATCACCATCACCATCACCATCACCATCACCATCACCATCATCATCATCATCATCATCATCATCATCATCAGCATCAGCATCATCATCATCATCAGCATCATCATCATCAGCAGCAGCATCAGCAGCATCATCAGCATCATCATCATCATCACCATCATCACCATCATCACCATCCTCATCATCCTCATCAGCATCATCATCATCATCATCCCTCACTTATGTTCTTTCTTTCTCCTTCTCCTCCTCCTCATTCTCCTCCTCCTCCTCCTTCTCCCAGCCCCGCCGCGGCTAGGCGGCTCTCCCGCCAACGCACCATTGCCATAGCCTCATCCCTCATTATCCGTCCCCCCCCATCTCCTCCTCCGCCTCCTCCTCCTCCTCATCAGCAGCAGCAGCATCCTCCTCTTCCGCCTTCCTTCTCCTGCTCCATCCCTCTCGCTCATCAGTAACGCTTCCCTGCTGCATCACCAAGAGAGTCGTTAGGGTGGGCCCTGTGTCTCACCGAAGCTACACGGACGGAGGGCCGTTCTCAAACCGAGGCCCGCGCCCTAGCGCCGCGCACATTTGCCCTGCAGATGTCACACAGCGACGCGGATGGAGGGCGCCTCCCTTTTCGCTGAGGGACCCTCGCTTTGGGGCCTTCCCCGAACGCGCCTGCCGTGAATCCGGCGCGTGTGCGGCGGACGCGCGGGCGCACAGCGGCTCAGGGAGCGGGGCTGTCGCTCAGGACACCGAGAGGGTTTTCACGTTTTGTTTTTATGTATTGTGTTTACGGATTGCTTTTACGTATTGATTTTACGTATTGCTTTTACGTATTGCTTTGACGTATTGTTTTTTCCACGTTTTTTTCTTCTCACGTTTACGTATTGTTTTTACGTATTGTTTTCACGTATTGTTTTTTCTCACGGTTAACATTTATTTTCTCACGGTTAAGAATTACCATTGGACGCCGACAACGTTCGAAGGGACTGCGCGTGCAACGAACGCGCGGGCGCACAGCGGCTCCGGAGCGGGGCATGCCGCGTAGGACACCGCCAGCGTTGGAAGGCCCACATTGTTCAACAGGAAATCATCAGACAGTCGCCTACGTCTAAGATTGGTTTGCTACCAGAGCTACAACTCAGCACTCTGCAATATTTGGTGAGAGATACGATGCTCCAGATTTCGTAATAAAAGGGAGGGGGTCTGGACCCTCCAAGACAAGCCATTTCAGACCTCCCCCGTGGGAGAACCCTCCAAAACATCGTCCCCAGACCCCCCCAGGCCCTCCAAGAGATAGCCCGGAAGAGACCCCCCCCCCGAAATGAGACCCCCCCCTCCCTTTTATTACGGAATCTGGAGTATTCAATATTTCGAGCTGTAGCCTGCTGCTGTTCCTCCTTGACTACCTACCAGACCACCCCAACCCAACTCGAAGACCCGAATTTCGGGTTGGGGGGGGGGGGTAAGGGTTCCACATGTGTTTTTTCGATGTTTCCCGACACCCCCCCCACTGGAAATCGAGGGTAAATCTGAGCCTTCGGGTTGGGTTGGGGTGGTTTGGTGGGTGGTGACTCCTTCGCCGGGCGCACGAGGAGCAGCGCAGGCAGCTGCACACGGGGGGGGGGGGGGGGCGGCTCCCCGGCCGGAGGCGGGGCCCCGCCGCGGGGCGCGCCGGCGCCGAAGGAGGAGGCGGCCCCCCCGTGCCGTCGCATGGTCCCCCCCCCCCGGGGAGCTCGGAGGATGGAGGGCCGTGCGGAGGGGCCCTGCCTTCCACCACCACCACTGGCAGTGGGAGGGGGAGGGGGTCCTCCTCCTCCTTCCTCCTCCTCCTCCTCCTCCTCCTCCTCCTCCTCCTCCTCCTCCTCACCAGCATCATCACCATCACCGTCGACATCACCATCACCATCACCATCATCGTCATCGTTATCGTCATCGTCATCGTCATCATCATCATCATCATCATCGTCGTCGTCATCATCATCATCATCATCATCATCATCATCATCATCATCACCATCATCACCATCAACATCAGCATCAGCATCACCATCAGCATCAGCATCAGCATCAGCATCAGCATCAGCATCAGCATCAGCATCAGCATCATCATCATCATCACCATCATCATCACCATCACCATCACCATTGCAATCACCATCAGCATCAGCATCAGCATCAACATCAGCATCATCATCATCATCACCATCATCATCACCATCACCATCACCATTGCAATCACCATCATCAGCATCAGCATCAGCATCATCATCATCAGCAGCATCAGCAGCATCATCATCATCATCATCATCAGCATCAGCATCACCATCAGCATCAGCATCAGCATCATCATCATCATCATAATCATCATCCTCATCATCATCATCACCATCATCACCATCATCACCACCACCACCACCATCATCATCAGCATCATCATCATCATCATCATCAGCATCATCATCATCACCATCATCATCATCAGTATCCTCCACATCCTTCCCCCCTCCAACTTATGGTGGCGGTGGTGGGGAAAAACAGGCCCATCACATGATATTCAGAGCGGAGCTCGTGGCTGGAAGTGCGGCGCCCCGGGGCGCTCAACTTTCAAGCGAGGCGCTTCGCGCAGTGAAGAGCAATGCTTTGAGGAGCTGATGGGGAGGCGGCTTGGGACGGAAGGGTGGAGTGCAGCAGCGTTGATGCATCGTGGTGTTGCTCTCGTCCTCATCTCCTTCTCATCATCTTCCTCGCCCTCCTCCTCCTCTTGTTAGTTTAAGAAGGTTCCGGGTTCGGGGAAGGGGGTTTGAGAGACTTTGAGATGTTCCTCCTGCTCCTCCTCCTCCTCCCGTTTCTCTTCCTCCTCCGTCATCACTCCCTCAGCCGAATGCCATGGTGGTGTATGATTGTGGCCTCCCGACTCTTCCCCAAACCTCGAGACGTCGTGGATAGAATTCCGATGGGACCCGACGGCTGATTCCTCACATGCCCTGGCCTCTGGAGCTCGGTTCTGGGCCCGGGAGCCGTACAAGTACTGCCGGCGACTAAAGGCCGTCCCTGGGGATGGGGTCACGAGCTCGTGAGGCCACGCGTTGAACAAATCATTACGTGGGGGGTATTGCTCCTCGCCATCCTTCGTGGAGGGATCGAGGATCACTTTGTGGTTGTCCCACCCCCTGCGTGAGTTCCGGGTCTTCACATAACATCTTCCCCCTCCTTCCCTCCTCCTCCTCCTCCTCCTCCTCCAACCTCCTCCCGTTCCTCCTTCTTCTCCGCCCCACCTCCACGTGCAAGACTCCCCCTCCTCTTAAGCCTCCTTAAAGATGCAAGCTCCATCTCATCCCACCCCTCCAGGCAGGCACCGCCAGACCACGACAGGGCATTCAAGGTCTATGCTATGTACCAGGTTTCGTGCCCCTCTCGATCCCCCAGTGAGGCACCGCCACCAGACCGACGCAGGGCATTAGAGTACCATTATCCTTGCCAGATGCTGGGCCCCTCCCACCCCATTCAGGGCGGCCCCGCCAGGCCGCAGCGGGGTACTCGAGCACCGCACAGCTTGCCAGGTTATGGCCCCCCCAAACCCTGCAGCCAAGCCCCCCAACTGGCCACCGCTCGGACGTCCATTTCCTGTGTGTTTTCCGGTTTCGTGCGTGTTTTGTTCGCGAAATGATCAAGGATGCTCCTCGGCGGCCCTCGCCGAGAAAAAATGCACACGTCCGAGCGATGCCAGGCCAAGACCGCGGCAGGGTACTCGAGCACCACGCCATTCAACAGGCCTCGTACCTCCGCCGCTCCAGGGAGGTCCCGCCAGACCGCGGCAGGGCCATCGAGCACCATACAGTGTCCCAACATCCCGAGATGGGCTTCTTGTTGTCACGACGCCTCCACCTCCTTTTTCTCCACCTCCTATCCTCCTTCCCCCCTCCTCCTCTTCCTCACCCAAGCTCGATCACACTCAGGCTCACTCAGACTCACAATCAGACCCACTCACACTCAGTCTCGCTCGCAATCAGACTCACTCAAATCATTTCCCCCCCACCACTCCCACTCAGACTCAGTTGTACTGAGACTCACTCGCACAGACTGGCTCACACGCACACACACACGCGCACGCTTTGAATCACAATCAGACTCGTTCATACTCAGACTCGCTTACCCTCAGACTTACTCAATCTCAAGCGAAC